ATTGTGCAGCATTTTAGAATTTCCTTGTAAAATTTTAGGAGGCATATCTAATTGCATTGAGAAGCATTTTGGTTTTATAAAATACATGGAGGTGCTGCGCCTCAGAGATTTCAATGTGGGAAGAGCAATGAGTTACAGAAACCTGTAAAGATCTGATCAAATTATGAATTCATGAGAAAAAGTAAAAGGTAAAAAATAGTAAACACGAAACTAGCCAATAGAGGAAAATATATTTTAATTTTTATTTTATTGTCATGAACATAATGACAAAAGAGACATTTAGGCAACAATATCAAATGTATGTGTAATACAAATACATGTATAGTGTAAAATGTTAACAAACTTGTGTCAATCAAACATAAGAATCACAATTTCACAGAAATGAAAATAATGTACATTTTTGGTGTAAAAGCATTAGTCTGGCATGTATATAGTATATGGAGACCGCAGGGCAACTGTAGTTTTCCTGCAGTTGCGTAGTTTAACAATTTCAAGTTTTACAATACCTGGAATTTATAGATTATCTTTGGATTAGCAACCTGTGATTTTACTCTTTAATTATCTGTGGAAGGTAAAAAAAGAAATTCATAAAAGTAACTCTTTTTTATTTCTATCCAAAATATTCTTGATGTAGAAAAACTGGAAATTAGAAATAAAAGTTTACATGCTTTTTTCTCATAGAGCAAGAAAAAATCTCAATGAAAATAACAAAGAAAATTTTATGAAAATCTAGTTGTGAAAATAAATAGAATGTAGATGGATGCCTAGTTGATCTAATTATAGGCTCACAGAATGAGCCAAAAAACACAGAAGCTAAGAGATTATTAAAATAGTGTGTATTAAAGAGGGTGTAACTAAAAAAGTCAAATCTGAAATGATGGTTGAATTAATGATTTTACATTATTGCTTATAAGGTTTATTTATAAATAAAAGCCACTTTTGATTTGATTTATTCCACTTATATAGTTTACTAGAGACACAGTTCGAATTTTAATTCAGTTCAATGGGATTTGTAAACTGAATGACCTGAGCATGGTGTATCATGGTGGTCCTTGAACATGTAAATTTACAATGTACACCCTGTTATAGCATGAAGGTTACGTCAAGGCGATTTGCAAAATAGACTTTTTAGTCAATGGTTCAGACAGTGGGGTCTATCACACAGAAAACAGTATGCAGTTTCTGTACTAAATCCAGAAGAAGGTCAAACGTTATAAAATAATTTTTATGTTAGATTTTCAACAATGGGGAAGGTACAACTCCACAAAAGTTAAAATGGCACAATACATTTCTGATATACTAGTATAGTACCCAGCAGCCAGTATGATATAATTCTCGATAGTACCAACAATATCCATCATTGGAGGAATATGACAGAATGTAGTACGGAATAAAATTGAATTAGAATATATTGTTTTCTTGGTGAAATGCGAGCAGTAAACCTAAACATTGTCTCTATTAGTAATGCAAAAAATAATAAATTTTACTACTTATTCCACTATTAATATTATGCCAACCACTAGGCCTAGAGAAATCTCTCAAAGCTTCCCAAAATCGATCAAAAATGGTTTGTTTTCACTTTTTATACTCTGTAGCCAGATTGTATTTACTAAAATAAAATTTCTAAAAAATAATTAATGTTTAAATTTGTTCTGCAAAAAACACATTTTTACCCTAAAACCCATTTTGACACCTATTTCTTCTTGTTAAATCTCAGTATCAATTAAGAAACCATTTACCTTTCAATTCACCAAAATCGATCAAAATTGATTGATTTTCACTTTTCCATAGTCAACCAGACTGTATTTATTTTTCTTGTTAAATCTCAGTATCAATTAAGGAACCCTTTTCTTTTCACTTAGTAAACATGACTAGTTGCCTGCTCGTCAAAATATAAGATGTCATTATATTTTCAACCCCCTGATTCTAGTCTATTACATGTGTTTGCATGTGTGGGGTCATGCAAAGAAACAACATCTTTGTGGAAAGGTTAAGCGCACAATGCACGGATTCCAAGGCTAAATCCTTAAATACATTTTGGTTACATTGTCGGAGTAGAGTCATCAAGGAGTCATCTGAGTGGAATGAAGCAGCCACAATGCATTGAGTCTTGGGCTTAAATTCTTTTCACACATTGCAAAATAGTTTCTATAAATTCATCTCAATTTCAATCTCAATCGCTTAGAAACTAGGGAAAAAAGATCTACTTCCATGGCTGTCTTGACTTTTATTGAAAAGATTAGAAAAGCAATCGATGATGGTGAATTTACAATAGGACTATTTCTTGACTTTTCCAAAGCCTTTGATACAATTGATCACAACATTCTATTTAGTAAACTTGAATTTTATGGCATTTGAGGAGTTGCGCTCAATTGGATTAAAAGCTTTTTTACTCATAGAATTCAGAAAACATCATACAAAGATACTTTATCAGACCCTGAATTGATCACCTGCGGAATCCCCCAGGGTTCAATTCTCGGACCATTGTTTTTTATCCTATACATCAATGGTATCTACCTTTCTTCTCGACGACTATTTTTGTGCTTTTCGCAGATGATTACCAATTTATTGATACAAGGGAAAGATCTAAGTGACCTTGCAGATATTCTCAATACTGAATTAAAACATATAGAGGAATGGCTCATTACTAATAAATTATCCCTTAATGCTGGCAAAACAAAATATATTATATTAACTTCAGTTCAAAAAAGATATAATCCAAATGATATAAGCATTTTTCTAAATAAAAAGAAGCTTCAACAAGTTGATCACATAAATTTTCTTGGTATAACAATTGATCAGAACTTAAATTGGAAGCGCCATGTTACATCTGTTATTGCAAAAATCTCTAGAACTATTGGTATTCTATATAGTGTTAAACATTTGTTGAATATTAAAGGATTCTTGAGCATCTATTACTCGCTTATCTACTCTTATCTGATATACGGAAATGTTATTTGGGCAGTGAAGCGGGTAAAGGTATATTAAATTCACTACATCGTCTCCAGAAAAAGTTCACACGCATTGCAACAAATTCTGATTATCGAGCTCATTCTCTTCCCTTATTCAAACAACTAAACATTTTAAATATATTTGACATAAATAAGCAATTGAAATGCCTTTTTATGTACAAATGGATTAATGAACTTGATAATTATCAGAAAATTTTCCCAAACCTCTTTAAAACTATCCAGGAGAGACATAATTACAACACCCGAAACAAGTGTTCTTATGACAAGCCCAAAGTACGAACAAATTATGGTAGAGCTATGTTGTCTTTCACTGCACCGTTAATTTGGAATGAATTAACTGATGAAATGAAATAATCTGAAAGCATCTTAATTATGAAAAAAGAACTCAAAAAGTACCTTCTTAATCAATAGTATCATTCTTAGTCTATGTTAGTTTTATAATGATTTGCGGGCCTAATATGACACACACTATTAAGCAGAAACAAATAGTATGCATTATTGCACAAGCAGATCCCCCATCTGTTCATGTATTATTATAAAACACGGGAATATACACATTATGTGTCACCCGTTTATTGTAACCTGTTGTTAAAAGATATGATTACGTAAATAAGAATAAATAAATAAATTATAACTGTATACAACAAATGCGTTATTGATATTTCACACACTGTTCATTATGTGAATACTCTGTTCGGAATTGGCTGGTATCGGACACACCTTGCCTAGCTATGTGTGAATACATAACTAGATATGCGTTGAGTATTTTCAAGAGGCCATACATCACTGGATGAGAATACAAAATGTAAAATATACAAATTTTAGGGGATATGTATCGAGACAATATTGGAAGCATGGGCTTTCAAACCACCGTGGTTTAGAAGTGTTGATAGAAAATCGACTAGTCATTTATTTATTTGTCATATACATGTATGCTATACATGTACTTTACAGGGTGTATATGATGTAAGGAATGGAAAAGTGTACAGCTGTTGAAGCCCACTTGGGTAGCCCAGAGTGGACTTCAACAGCTGTACACTGACTATTGCCCAACTATTCTGAAAACCCACTGTTCACTTATTTAAATCAGGTCTGAAAATTCAATAAAAAAATAATTTTGCTGGAAAAAACGTTGGCCCCCAAAATGTTGGGTATTTTTCAAAAGGACCACATTTTTTAAAATATGAACCTATTTTTCAAAATTGAGCTTCATGTCTAAAAATTGCCCATTTTGGCCAAAAAATCTTTCAAAATCATGCAGTTTTTCACCATTCTGAGCACTTTTTAAGTGATTTTGGCCATTTCTGGACCAAAATTGTCACAAGTGAACCCCCCTGGAATTTTCCAAAAAGTGAACCCCCCTTGGCAAATCCTGACTACGGGCCTGTATAGGCATACTCTATTCAAATATTATATTGCTCAGGGGTGTTCCAAGTGTGCAAAAATTGTATTGAAATTTGAAAATCAACATATCGAGTGTATTTGATAAAATGAGTAAACCAAGAACACCTCGATCAAGTCAGAATACTTCGGCAAGAGTCTGAATACATGGGTATAGATTACTCCAAGAGCCATTAGATTTTGAAACTTAATTCGTGTTTCAAGGGTCACTATTTTTCAGCTGCCCAAGTGCCCCGTGGGAAAGCAATTATATCAAAATCCACATAGCTTTCACAAGAAGTAAGGTAGTATAGAGTCTAAGGGAAAGTGTCAAAAACACTTGGAGTTTCACATGCAGCCTCCTTGCCTAAACTGTTCAATCTTAGATCTTTTTAGGTAAATCAAAATTCAATTCAATAATCAATTATCTTCCCTGCTGTTATTCATGAATCATGCCTTTGAGCTATTGAAAATGATGTAAACAAATTCACGCCCATTTACATGTGCTATTGTTTACTTCCGGTTTGCCATATTGAAATACTTCTGAACTTTTTGAAAACGGTAATTTCTCCATAAAACAAATCCCACTGGACCAGTAACTAAGAAGTTCTGCCGATAAAAGTAGTATACAATACACACAGCACTCACCTATGTTAACTAATTTTACATCGTCTTCAGAAATTGCCTTCAAAGCTAGTGTGACATTTTCTAAATATTGATGTTGATTGATTGGTTTTTTCACCACCCGTTTTATCCTTCTGTTTTGTAGAGCTTCGACAAGTGCACATAGCTTTATTCCATCCGAAAAATCCTCCTGGAGATCTTCAACGTTGTGGTCGGCTCCAATTAACTGCTGATTTACCCAATTAGTGAAGGTATTTTCTTGAATTTTAATCCAGCGATCTCCCAAAATTGACATCGCGGCGTGCCCTTCAGCCGATCTCACATCGTCATTTTCAGTCATATTCGTTCAAATTTTCTCTTTGTATCCTACATCCGGTTAATCCATATGATCGTAGAGACAACTGTCACTTACATACACCTGTAATCTAATCAATTATGTCGATTGCCCGAGGAAAAATGACGAAAATTTAGGCTAGCATTGGGAACTAAACTAATACTGCCACTCAACAGCAGTTTAGTAGTTTACAGTATACACCCAAAATACACTCCCGGTGAAAAGTATGTCGAACAAATAAATTTCCCTATAATATCAATGGTTCACAAGTATTACTGATGCACAGGGCGAATATCATGAACTTGCCATGCAAGCGGTAAACAAATACATTTAATCTACAAGAAGGGGTGTGACTGGTAGTGGTATTCAAAATGGATTGTAATAGGTTTTAGGCCGATATAAAGGTGGCAGTAGTGTAGTACAGTATGGGGGTTCGCACATAGTTATATTCCCTCGCTACATATTGACTTCACTGCCATCTTTTATATGAACATTTTTTAATCGTATTTTATGCAGTATTTCCATTTTTGTAAACCTGTGGGCTACATCCTCCGATCACAGGGCTTCAAAATCCAGAATATATTCTTGGCCCTGCGATAGCAGCTAGCATTTCCCCGATTAAGAACTTTGGCTGTCGCAACACTGCGACAGAAATCATGTATAAGTCATGATTGCGCATAATTAGATCACGTGATTTAGTTAAATCGGGCGCTCCCAAATTGGTTATAGCAGGGGGGAAGAAGGAGGTACGGATTCTGGACACCTGCTTAGGAGGATGGTGGGCTAATACTATAGTAACTATAAACATTCTATCTTATTTAATTTTTCACGTGGTTAGTAATAGAGGACATGTTCATGGAACCCTTGCGTTGAGTAATCAAATGTTGCGCATGTATATTCATATTTACACAAGCAATAAATCGTTTTCAATCCCAAAAGTATTGAAAATAATACATGACTAACAAAGAAGTTTTTTATGAATAAATATTTATTTTTCCTTTAAGTTTTGGATTACATATTAACGTAACATTTTCAACATAGGAATTATCAAATGTATGTATGTATGTATCTTTTATTCCCGATTTCAAATCGGATTTCATATAAACTAATTACATTGTTAGATTAATACAATAAACATAAAACATAAACAAGGTCACAACATATTTACAATCTTTAAAAGTAATATAAAAATTTCAGATTACAAGGTCTAGATCTTCTGCAAGTTTATGTAAATAAGGGTACGAGACTAATCCCTGAGTCTGATATCACTATATGAATGTATCTCAGGATGAGCTCTAAGTTATGTATCTCAAATGACTCCGAGGCAGGGCCGCATACAGAAGCACAAATTTCTCTTGGATCGAACGCTGGATGGTTGTTGGGTAACGCAATGTCAATAATGAGTTTATTCCTCATGTGATTGTACTTATTACAGTCGATTAGCATGTGATTTATGGCATCCTTATAGAAATTGCCACATCTATCGCAAAGAAGGTTGGAGTCATTGACGGGCATGGCTAAAACTTTGACTGCTGTGAGAATATACGGAAGTAGATAATTCCGTTTTCTGGCTAAGTTCCAAAGATTATGGGCTCTCAAAACAGAAATGGAAATTCTGATGTCATTGCGTTGAGATTCACTTTGAACTAGGAAGCGTTGTCTGACTACATATTTGCAAATGCGTTTCCACAAGATATTATTTGGAAAATAACCGTTATCTAGATATTGAATCAGGTATTGTTCCAATTCGTAGGTTTTCAGAATGTTTGAAATGTCGGCGACAAATCCTGCCTGCCGGTGATTTCCGCCGTAAAGCAAATTTGCTCTAAACAGAAAGATGTCCTTTGTCAACGTCAGCTGTTGCGTGTTGCAAAGCAGACCAAGAAACGACAGCTTTCGTAGGTCAAGTGTGAACTGGACTGGTAACAGATCAGTTAAAGCGTATACAATATCAGTTCTCGTAGATTTGAATAATTCAAATAGACTTTTGAGGATGAAACGTTGAGCAATTTCTAATTTCAAAATTTCCGATTTTGTGATATTAAACCACAGCTCGCATCCGTAAAGAGCAGTGGGAATACAAATGGTCTTAATTAGATGTATGCCAGTTAAAGGGGTGAGACCCTTCGGATGTACACCAATTCCTGCTAGCGATGCGAAACTGCCTTTTAACTTATGACACGCGCTGGAGACTGCAGCAGTGTTTTTCATCGAAGCTTGGTATATGTTTCCGAGATGTTTACATTGATCAACCTCGACTAACACCTCGTCTTGAATAGACCACTCGCGTGTTTTCCGTAGTTTCTCATTTACAGGTTTCGACTCGCCAAATGTTATCACGCTTGATTTTGAAACATTTATCTTGAACCTCCACTTCTGGGAGTAATTAATGGCAATTGAAATCAAGTTATTAAGACTGTCCCTGTTATTTGCAAGAAGGGAGATATCGTCTGCGTACGTGGGGGCGCTGCAAGAAATGCAGCTTATCATTGATCCGAAGTTTGATCTTTCAAGTAGACAAAGTAATTCGTCGATGTATAGGGTGTAGAGCCAGCCCGAAAGCACCCCGCCTTGGCGGACTGATTGACTGATAGAGAACCAATCAGACTGATGCCCCTTAAAGATTATCGCGCCGCTTAAATTGCTGTAAAGCCGGTACATTATTATCCAGAATCGGCCTTGGAGCCCAAGCTTGTGAAGCTTAAGGAACAACCCTGCGTGCCATATGGAATCGAATGCTTTAGCGCTGTCAAGACTTGCCATAAATGTTTTCTGACCAAGCTCATTGTTGGAATTAATTGTCTCAGTAATGTTAAAGTTGCAAGTCGTGCAGCTGAGACCCTTTTCATAAGCATTCTGTTGGGGGCTCTTGTGAAATCTGGTCCCAGAGGTGCGCTCAGCCTTGTCAATCCGAACCTTCACTAATGACTCCCATAGCTTTTCTATCACAGGGAGAAGGGTTATGTCTCTATAGTTATTAAGATCAAGCCTAGATTTCTGACCACCTTTGTGTAATTTCGCTATCAAACCCTGTGAAAAAGCAAGTGGTGGAGTCATTGTGAATGTTATCAGGTTGAAAAGCATAGCTAGAATGCTTACAAGGGACTCACCTCCGTGAATGAGATGTTCATTTGAAATACCGTCGTGGCTAGAAGCTTTTCGTTTCTTTAGCTTCCTTATACCATCGCTAACCTCATGTCCATATTGTCTGTTTAACCCTACTATCACACCAAACTAGTTCTCACTACGTTCTCGAAAACGGGCTTAAACTGAGCACGGACGGATTTGACGTACTAAGAACCCACTAACAGTAGGACGACACATTGAAAAAAAACATTGTTGTTTACCAAACTTTATATCAAAGTGGTGTAGCGATATATGACGTCATCGCACTTCTTGTTTCTGGTCCGTTGGCTACCATCTTTATGAGGTCCAATGATCGAAACGGGAAACATTTAAACATTTGAAAATGAAAATGACGGATAGAATTCTACTGATCTCTTCTTTCCAACTATCTCATTTTAATGTTAGAAAAATGCACATAAATGGGAGTAAAATGCAAACACGTGAGACTTTCACTCATTTTGTACCCTATATTCGTGCGAAATTAACATTGATTAAACATATTTTTTTTAAATGTCTGAATCGCTTAAACAGACTAATGCCAAACTGCCAACTTCAATAACATTTACAAACTGATCACAAACTAATACCACACTGCCTACTTCAATACCATTTACAAACAGGCCACATATTAATACCACATTGACTACTTCAATACCATTTACAAACAGGCCACAGATTAGTGCCACGCTGCCTACTTCAACAACATTTACAAACAGGGCACAGATTAATGCCTCGCTGCCTACTTCAATACCATTTACAAACAGGCGACAGTCTCATACCACTCTGCCTACTTCAACAACATTTACAAACAGGCCACAGATTAGTCCCACACTGCCTACTTCAACAACATTTACAAACAGGGCACAGACTAATGCCAAACGGCCTACTTCAATAACATTTACAAACAGGCCACAGATTAATGCCACGCTGCCTACCTCAAAAACATTTACAACCAGGCAACAGTCTCATACCACTCTGCCTACTTCAACAACATTTACAAACAGGCCTCGGATCAATGCCTCACTGCCTACTTCAATACCATTTACAAACAGGCCACAGACTAATGCCAAACTGCCTACTTCAATAACATTTACAAACAGGCCACAGACTAATACCGCACTGCCTACTTCAATAATATTTACAAACAGACCACGGATTAATACCACATTGACTACTTCAATAGCATTAACAAACAGGTCACTGAGTTATGCCACACTGACTACTTCAATAACATTTACAAACAGACCACAGATTAATGCCAAACTGCCTACTTCAATAACATTTACAAACATGTCACAGAGTTATGCTTCATTGCCGACTCTAATACCATTTACAAACAGACAACAGATTAATACCACATTGACTACTTCAATAACATTTACAAACAGGCCACAGATTAATACCACATTGACTACTTCAATAACATTTACAAACAGGCCTCAGATCAATGCCAAACTGCCTACCATAATACCATTTACAAACAGGCCACAGATTAATACCACATTGACTACTTCAATAACATTTACAAACAGGCCTCAGATCAATGCCAAACTGCCTACCATAATACCATTTACAAACAGGCCACAGATTAATACCACATTGACTACTTCAACAACGTTTACAAACAGGTCACATATTAATGCCAAACTGCCTACCATAATACCATTTACAAACAGGTCACTGACTTATGTCACACTGCCTACTTCAATAACATTTACAAACATGTCACAGATTAATGCCAAATTGCCTACTCCAATAACATTTACAAACATGTCACAGATTAATGCCAAACTGCCTACGCCAATAACATTTACAAACATGTCACAGATTAATGCCAAATTGCCGACTCTAATACCATTTACAAACAGACCACATATTATTGCCACACTGTCGACTTCAACAACATTTACAAACAGGTCAAAGACTAATGCCACATTGCCTACATTAATATCATATACTGTATAAACAGGCAACAGAGAAATGCCACTGCGTATACTTTTATACCATCAGGAGTACAAGCCACCCTGCATACCTTAATACCATGGACAATTTTTTAATATCTATACCAGTATATATTGGTATATATGGATTCTCATTATTTAATGCAGCACATGTTTTAAACATATTAACTGATCATGATAATTAGACGGAGGTCCCAATGCAATACGATAATGGTGAAGCAATAAACTCCCTTACAAGATTATCACCAAAGAGCACTTGTTTAGAATAATCTGTCAGTATTGAAGAGGCCATCTTGGAAATATTGTAAGTAAGATTTAGGCCATATTTACACTATGTACATTGTACATGTTATTTCATATATGGCACTTCCATCATTTTCTATGACGGGTACACGTATGCAAATAAAACCTCGGGAGTAAAACGTGCTGATATTCGAATGTTGCCTAAACTGGTTTCACAGTGTTCCTTACAATTTTTTGATATTCTGATCTTTCTTTCTCTAATTTTGAAATGTAATAACAATATCCAACATGCAGTTGCCGAGTAACGGGAAACGATGCGTAAGGGCGTCTTTCCCCATTTCCAATAAATCTAATTGGTATTACTTGCAAGCTACCCTTAATATAAATGTTACGTTCTACAGATATTGCGATTCCGCTTCTAGGGGAAAATGCAACGAAACATAGTTGAGGATACAATTATCTAAAACCATTGTGCAATTTATATATATTCAGCCAGCTATATTGTGAACATATTCGCATAGTTGTTAATAACATGAATGCGGGATTCGCACTGTGTTATTGCTTTAAAGGGAGCGGTGTGTAGCGGCAGTGTAAAGTGAAGGTCTGGATCGATAGATGTTTTAGTGAAACGAAGTAGCAGTGGATTGTCATCGCCAGCTCTGTGTTAACGTTAACCTGCAGCTTGGATGCCGGGCTCTGAAACAAGAATAATAGTGGCGCATATTGGTATATAATATAAGATGGCTTTGGGGTGAACGTAGCGTCAAGGTGAAGCATACATCGCGAGTCTACTGTCATATACGTCACCGATGCTGAACTGGAAACAATTACACGAGGATAACACTGTACCGAGGTGAGTATGACTTAATTTCAGAATCCCTTCGGAGAATCATATCCAATATCAATGAGAAATGACATAAACTAAAAGATAGAAAGTACATTTATAAATGGCTAATCATTTTTTGAACTGGGTAGTGTGATCGGGTAGTGTGATCATGGTGAAGGGCGTGGCTAAAATGCACTTTGTAGTTTGATATATCACCATTATCTACAAATAGAGATTGAACATATTATCGGGGGAAAAGTGTAAGACCGAGAAAAATATTCTTTCTTGTAAAATAAAGACCTATCAAATAAACAATCACTTTTTTCATTTCAATTCTTCAGGTCAACGACATCACCCATCTATCCTCCAATAGCAGGCCTCCCTCTCCCTCTCCCACTCACTCTACTGTTCTCGTAGACTATCCTCTAATCTCTAGATATCTCTCAGATATTCTCTAACCATGTCTTAGTTTCATTCAACTCTGTTATACGGTAAACACGATACAATTATTTGTCATATTTCGGAAGTGAATCTTACATATTCACTTGCGGTGTATGACATTCTCACGCGACGTGTATGGCATACTCAACGATCAATGTGAATGTTAGACGGAAGTACTGAAAAACTAAATTGCCAATCTCAAAGCAAAAAACGAAATCGTGATTATGAAATGTTATCAAGTGCCCTTATTTGTTACTGTAATGAGATCTGTTTATCAAGATATATTCACACCCCCCTTTCGATTCCTCTCAACGTAATTTCAGGGCTTTCTCTTGATATAATACATGTTTGAAGTTGTTTTTATGTATGTGTTAGACACAGATAATACACTCACTGCAAGGGAACACATAACGCATGAATCAAAATATACAAACATGCGTTCTTGGAATTATGAGTGACCTTTTCGCAGCGCAGTGGATGAATACCAGACACAAATCATATGTATCAGACACTATACTATAATTGCATACAAAATTTGAATAAAATAAACAAAACACATTTAGAAATACTGTATACTATATTTGATTCTTCATCCGCGTTACCCAGGAAAAGAAATTGTGATGTCCAATTTTAAATTCGCGGGATCCTGAATTCGCGATTCTACACTCCCGCGAATATACGCGAATTCAAGATGCTCGCGAATTTAACATGTTTTACAGTATACGAAAAAACATTAATTTGAATTTAACACCTACTACATGTTTTAAAATTAAGGATTGTGAACCTCGTACTGCAACGTTTTTCTTCAAACTTGTTCCATACAAAGCAGAACAAAAATGCCTTTATGTTGTTACATTATTTGGTATGCAGATTGCAGAGTCCCTCCTTTTAGCGACGTTTGTGTCCCCAGCTATGAGAAGCGCTTCTTACAACTTGAATATTTGAGAAATAAAAAGATGCCATCTATTCTCAAAGGACCACGTAGTGTATCACGAACAGTTTCGGACAGTTTTATTCTTGACTAGGAGTTTTGTTAGACCACACATTCCTCATTGTACAATATAACAATATGTTATCTTCCACTTAAGCACAAGAATAATAGAAACTTCATTTGAATTATACCGATTGATAATGGATTGGTAGCCCATCTTAGTTTTTTTTAATTAAAAAAGATATCGTTTTATCTCATTTTACCCACATGGAAAGTTTCTTCTGCACTATGTCAGTAACCACTGAAAGGGGAAGTTTCATATGGTTGAAATGGGAAAAATAGATTTTTAAACGAGAAAAACAGTTGAACTGAGGACGTGGGTTACTAATTATCTATCGGTATAATCCAATTGCCTTTTCTATTATTTTTGTGCTTAAATTGAAGATATGTATAATATATATTGCCAATGTGACAACATTCATGATGATCGTCAACGTAACAAAAGCGAGGGACTAAATATGTGAATTGCGTCTTCGTTAACATGCCAAACATAGAACCGCCTGTATATTCTCAAACTAGACTATCTTCCTTACTTTGAGCCAAACTTTTATCCACAACTTGACTCATAAGTGGCGTAGAATCGAGAAATAAAAATATCTTACCGAAAACGAAGCACGGAAGTTCTTCCATCTTGTTACGCTGACGTATCGTCAGCGTAACTAGGTGAGTACCAGTGGTTACTGAACCTGGCCGATAATCGTTAGAATAGAATATGTATGCATTTGGAAACTTGCTACGACTGAACTTCAGTTAAATAATGAGGTCATAACGTGGTTGTTGCATATAAAAAATAGAAACAATGATCGATGAAGTAACCATAACGATCGATTAAACGAGATGACTGATTAAAGACTTACCAATACAGGTGATTAGTCTCGTTCAGTCATAATGGCGGTGCTAATTTCCATGTTATCGTACACATGTGATACTACCCTTTGCAGTCGTTTGACTTCGCTTCTAAAAGAGAGCTTCGTCTTCTGACGTTATCGCATAGTTGATGGGCACCCATTTTGCATGTGTTCCTTTCAGCTTGCTGATTGGTTGAGGAAAAGCAACGCGAAATGTTTGAAATGGTCTTGGACCCGGTGTAAAAGAAATTATGGTCCCCTGGGGATTATGGTCCCCTGGGGATTATGGTCCCCTTTCTTAAAGGCCCTTACTGGCCCTGATTGTGGATACAAATTATCTACCTGAGGGGCCGAGGGTTGATATAAATGTATTTACCGAGGGATATACCCTTTATCAAAAATCGAGTATTCAATAACTGATTTATCCTAAACTTAGTAGATTATGAGAATTAAATATGCATTGAATTTTAGGGAACCCTAATGTAGTTATTACAAATGATAATTACAATCAAAACATGATATTTATCTCGATTTCAAGTCCTAATACAATTTTTGTTTTTTAAAACTCAACAGGTTTTAACATTTAACAATCTATGAAATTAATGTTTATCTAATAGAGCCAAAGTATATCCATCAAAAGCAATCCTAAAGCACCAAAAGAAATTCCCGGGGATTGCTGATGAGCAGGTGATATATATATCTCCCGCACACCCCAGCGGGAGATATATATATCACACGCTCACCTCAGATATCGCTTATATTCCCGCATGTTATTTACCTATATTACAATACTTAGTATGGGATAAATAAGAATATCTAATGATGCTTGAATTAAGACACATGCTGTATGAACACTTTATACTCAAATATGATTTATCCCACATACCCCGAATCACAAGTGGCTATAGTGACCATATTTTTCATCAAAGTTGAGAAGAGTCAATGACATTTGGCATTCTTTTTCGACACTGTATTTAACACCTCCTGTGAAAATGTGAATGAAAATGGCAAAAACCTTTTTCTCAAAACTTATTGATCGACCTGGAATGTGAAACCAATTAGAGAGACTACTCTTCCATGTTTTCCAACACAATTACAGTAAAAGAGTCAGCACAATGGAGATTTTCAGGGCACAATTTCTTCAAAATTAGCCTTCCGATTGCCCCAATTCTTTTTTAAACATATAATTAACCTTCTGATGCGTTGAGATACCATATACCATATATTTTCCCTTATACCATATGCCATATTTTTTACACCTCTTATATCATATACAAAAAAATTGCCCCCTCTTATACAATATACAATGAATGTACAATGTACAATAAATTTTCACCCTCTTTTACGATATACAATATCCCTATACACCCCCTGTCGTCTAATTACAAATAGAAAGCTTTCAAAATCGGTATAAATAATTTAAAAGGCTAAATGATTACATAGTTTCTATGCTATTCAATATATTGCCACCTAATGTAAAATATGCATTTTCATGATTTGATGCTATTGATGGAACATACAGTGACCACGCTGTTATAGCATGGCGGTTACGCCACCTCTGAAAACGAGGTTGGGCTGCTACGTTGAATGATATGTCCAATAAAATGGCCACGATGGAACAGAAAGCTAAAATTGGTGCATTTTTTCTACTACTTTGTATCAATAAAAGGATGAACGATTAATGTAAACGTCGCATTCGGTGATGCATTCAGTAATGTATATTTTGAACGTAGTCTTTGCAAATTGATATCCGGGGATAACATGAAAGAAGCGAAAAACTGTCGAGTTTGAAATTCAAAACTACACAAAATTTTGAATTTTTTTGTCGTTAGGGAAATGGTCTACATCATTGCCTCGGGGTATATAAATATAACCTACATACGATCATGCAAAGCCAATTGGGCATTAGAAACCACCTAATATGTTCTACTGAAGCCATAATAATGTATATTGAATTTGCGGTAACGCAAAAAATGATGGAATGATGAACCTCGTTCAAATATGAAACCCCGATTCATTGTTATTAATTGTCATCTTCATCAGTACTTGATGCTAACTCTTCTTTTGCCTCTTCATTGCTATCATTCACTTTCATTGGTTTCATTAATAAAGCAAGCCACTTTCGTTTTTTCCTTGCCCTATAGAGGCTCAAACAAGAGCGTCTCTTGCGATTCCTGAAAACAAATATAGTAATTCAATAGAGAGGTTCGCAAAACGATTTTTAGCTCAACAGATCCGTAGCCGTAACATATTTACCAGATTGATGCGTAGTCAGTTCAATTTATACGTGAAGCGATACGGAAAACACGAAAAATGAGGCTTTTCTACGTTGATCAATTACGTATCCCATTCTATCTTTCGATTATATTGATTTTTGTTCTAAATGTATCACTATATGAACAAGCAAAGTGTGTTGTGTATAATTTGACTTAAAAAGGAGTGGTATCGATATGGAGAACTTTTTGAACACAGGTTTCTCTTAAACCAGTCATAAAAAATCTAAAACTTTAACACATCGTCAATTTAATGGTCATCTTTTGAATGGTAACAATATAATTTGAAAAATATATATATACTTTCATCTATATTGTTTTAGAAAACACATCAAACACTTGTTTCGTTCTTGGTATCATGTTTCCAGAGTGATTCATATAGGGTGATTTTGGTATGTTTTGGTATTTTGAGCATGTTTTTTTAAAATGACCATAAAATCACGACGATAGGGAAAGGGGGAGGGTGGTTGTAAT